CTTTCACCCCTCACCTTCCCCGAATCCTCCTGGGATCTCTACTCTCATTGTTTGCCTTGAGGGGCTTATCTATCCTGGATTCCCTGTGTTGCCGGCTCTTATCTGAAGCAATGTGCATGTTCTGGTCTAATGTGATTTGTAAGGTAGAATTGGGGGGAAGGAAGTTGTTTCATCGGTGCTATACTGCACCCTGACTGGCTCATCTCTTCCCTGTGACCCTACTGTGATGGGATGTCCAATTGTCTACAGATGGACTTTGGGTCTCCACTCCATGCACCCCACCCCATTCACATTGCGTTATGATTTTGTTCTGGTGCACCTAATTTTGATGAGCACAAACTGCACAGGAAAACACTCATTTTCATCCCTAAAGAGATTAAAAAACACTCAATGTATAAAGATTCAAGAAAGATTCATTATCCTTGCTATGTGCGAAAGTTGTGATGAAATCAATGTGTACGTGAAAACTATACAAATAAATGTTTTCAATTATAATATGTTAGAGATAAAATTCTTATCTGAAAATAAATACAAGGCTTCAAAAACTGTGGGGACATTCCATATCAGTTAAGTCCATCGTTCAACAAAGTTTGAAGCCCCCCTTAAAGAATAATTTGTTGTGATATATGTTTCATTATCATAACATTTTCTTTTATATAATTATAGTATTTATTATGAAACAGGTTTCAAAATTGAAGCAAAACTGGTAAAAGTCCACTTTTCATTGTGGGCAGGTGATCAACAAAATTTTTTCTTTGTTGGAGATTGGTTTTCTTTGTTGTACAATATGTGGAATATTATTTTTGTGGAAAGTTTGGAAAAATCCTAGTACCCTGCATTCACTAGAAAACTTTTATGATCCAGTTCATCTCATTGCATAAAAATGGCACCCTTCACTTTTGCTTTCAATCATTAATGTTATAGTGTCATTTAAGAATAAGTTACAGTGTGGAAAGCTGACCCACACACACCTTTATGTAGATATCTCACATATACCATTTGAATGTGTGAATAAACAGAGGAGAAGGCACCACAAATTATCAGTGTTTAAAGTACTGACATGGCTTTAATCCGACACTCATCAACAAGCACCTATGGAGTTTCTATAGTGTGACCACTACTCTTTTGGCAGCAAGTTGTTATATGAAATATAATAAGCCAGTTTATGATCTCTAGAACATATAAGCTTAGAAAAAAAAGAGGTATCCTTAGCTTTTATAATAATAAATTCCAGGCCCCACTATGAGACACGACATCCCTTACTGACCCATAGCCCTACAGGGGACAACACTGGAGACACAATGTGGGAATTCTGCCCGATCTGTTCCTACCACACCAAGGCAAAACACTAAGGGCATTCAACAGAACAGCAAGGGGAACAGAGCAATGAAGTCCCAGGGATTACCAAAAATAGACTTTGGGACCATGACTTTACACCCCATCTGACTCCACTGGAAAACACTCCTAATGGCCAACAAACAGTCCTTGAACTAACTGCAAGCTTTTCTGTTTTGGTGGTGGTGGTGGTGGTGGTGGTGGTGGTGGTGTGTGTGTATGTGTGTATCATTGGCTTGTTGTTTTGTTTTCTTTTGTTGCTTGGTTTTGCTCTGTCTTATTTTTGTGCATGTTATTATCTCTACAGTTCTGTCTAAATAAGATAGGCTGGATGAACAATCTGGAGGAGAAAACAATAGGATGGACAGTTCCAGGAGGACATGGAAGAGGGGAGGAGGGGGGAAAGGAAGTGGTGTTAACAAACCCAGGGAAAGGGGAACAACTAGTGATTCAAATTGGTGGCGAGGAGGATGTAGAAGGTCTGGTAGGGCGTGATCAAGGGTAATGTAACCGAGAGGAATTACTGAAACCCAAATGAAGGCTGA